TCCTGATGGTGAAGTGCTGGTCAATTGTTTTAATCTACAAAGAAATTATCATCTGACCAGGACTCAACCGTCAGAGGATAGATGGGTTCCACCATCAGTGATCTTCAGAATAAGAGTGCTGAAGGAAGGAGAGGAATGGATAACCTACCAACCAAACATCCCGATCTCCCTCCTGGCCTGTGACCCGGACACATTAACTTGGACAACACCCAACCCACAAAGAACCCCCCATCAAAAGCATCTGCAGTCACTGACGACAAAAGCCGCTTACCGACTGTTGAGACCAAAACTCAAAATACGGGACAGGGTGGAGTCTCGATGGATGAGACACATGAATGTGGCAAAAAAATCACTGGCAGGAATACGCTGGTTCAGGCACAGTAAGACCAGACCTGCTAAACTGGCATCTCTGCAATGGCAGATCGAGCACAAATGTCTACCAACCAATGATTGGTTGATAGACCGTACCCATCTAGAGCAGAAAGGGCTTGCCCTTCCATGGTGCAAGCTCTGTAACACTGCTTACCCTTCAAGAAAATACCGAGAGACCATAGAACACATTTTTCTTCAATGGCCCGGCTCGGTATGGCTTTGGAGGTGGTGGGACCGAATCTGGCGTCAGCTAGGCACATCCACACAATGGCCCTGGAGTTGGAAAGCACTGCTCTGTGAAACTTGGAATCCGGAAAAACTGAGCGACTACGAATCTAACATGTTTATAATAGGGAGGAGAGCAATCCTATGGGCCATATGGTGGCGTCGATGCACAATGGAAATGGAAGGTAGTCGATTGGATGGTCCGGAGTTTATAGACTCAATCAGGCAACACATTCAGACAGAGATAACAATTAAATGGGATCTGACAAAGGAAAAGCTGACATTTCTCAGCTCCCAAAAAGGAGATCCACACAACCATCCAAAAGTTCAGCACGGTCTGGCTGGGGGGGGAACAAGGGGGTAGGATGGCGACAGTGGTCTGGAAAGGAGGGATGGGAGAGGAATTGGGAAATGGGGAGGATCAGGAAATGTTGGTCAGAAACTATACCCTCACCTTCCACGATTGGACTCTTTCAGACCAATCTGTCCCACTAAGACCCCTCTCAGACTTCTCAGAGCTTTTCCCCCCCGCGCCTTTCTCTATAGTAGGGATGTCATGGTATGGGGGAGGTGGAGAGTGAGAGATTAAGAAAGGAAAGGCTAGTGTAYGAGSGCGACAGGTCAGAGGTATGGGATGCTGGACCAGGCTTCCAGTAAAATGGTTTTCCCAACTCCAGTTCCAAGTTCAGTTTCAGGGGGGAGGACTAGTTGTTGCAAGGCGAACAACATCTTGCACAGTCAATCCTCCGGAGATCGGAGTAATCAATGCTGGCAGGGTGTTCAGAAAATGCTCCCTTGGTTCTAGTTTTAAGAAAAGAAAGAGACGAGGGTTAGATGAGGGAGGAGGGAGTCAGTATGTAGCAGTAGAAATCTGGCGCCGAAATCAGGGTGAAGAGGCTCCCCCCCTGCTCAGTTAATCCCCTGGTCTCCAGGGCAATCAATGCTGGCAGTTTTCTCCAACGGTTTATCCTGAAGTGTTTTGAAGTATCTCAATTGTATCATACTCATAAGGGACGCTGGACCCGTTTTCCAGCAGGTGATGCTCCCCACCAATAGATGGAGCCTATCCCCAGGTGCTAGCGGTGACTGCTCTTACCAGCATCGCTAGCACTGGAGATACTGTTTCAAAAAAAAAAATAAAAAATAAAAAAAAAAAATGGCGTCGATTAAACCACCAGTACCTGGCGCAGCTATCGAGTCCGAGCCTCGGCCGACTGGTATGCCGATCCGTGCCGAGGCTCGGACTACCGGGCGCAGGCATCCCGAACGTTGACATGAAAGCCACGAAAAAAACGGGAAAAAACAAACAAACAAAAAAAAAAGCAAATAAGAAAAACGAACGGGATCATTCCCGCCTTGTGTCGGAAACGCAAAGCGGGAATGAATCTCCCCGCTTTGGCGGAGAGAGAGAGAGAGAGAGAGAGAGAGAGAGAGAGAGAGAGAGAGAGAGAGAGAGAGAGAGAGAGAG